ATGAGGTGTTTAAGGGGCAAAGGGTGAACTTCTTTTTTTCTCCCCTTGTTGTATGGTATCTGATCACATCTCATGATAGTCCCCTTCCCCTTACTTGCACTCATATAATTACCAAACGCTGCTCTTTCGTGCTGCCTCTGGAGACTGACACTGTTGAAGCATGTAGCTTAAGTCTCCTATTGACCCTCTGGGGGAAAGATAGGAAGAAACACTGAAATTAAACGTAGGTGGGGTAGCAATGATAATTATGTTGGATCATAACTTCCACTGATCTAATTAATGCCACCTAAGTTGTGGCTTGTGCAACTGCCTTGATTTATTGGTTATATCCACAGTTCACAGAATGACGTTTCTGAAGGCCCGTGGCTCTGATACATGGAGCGATAGAAGCTGTATTTCATGAACATCACATTGTGTAGTTGCAGGATGTGTAACAGTTTGAATGCTGCCTGCTCTGTGATGCTCTTTAGAGGCACTGTAAGTTGGTGATCCAGGTAGGATTCAATAATGTAGGCTGTACAGCCCAATTAATTTGTTTCCAGCCTAAATCCCTTCATGCTGCTCTTAAACTGATGTTTTCCTGTTGAATCTCGTATAACGAGCTCTAGGTGTTCCCAGCATTAAGTGACAGTAAAAGATGACTCTCACCTAAGCTCCGGTTTATGTATTTGTTTTATTACTCAGGATATGTCTGGATTTTACAGCTGAGTATGTTAGGAATTTAGTTACAAGTTGAAACCGCTTTATAATGCGTGGCTATAAAGATCAAAGGTTGCAAAACCAACATTGGAGAGCCAGGTCCTGCTCTTCCAAGGCTCATCAATCACGACTTAGTTCTGGCCCATCTCACATAATTTTCCACCATGTGCTGTCATTGGGACGAATGTTTACCCATAGCAGTAGACCAGAGACTCTCACAACTCTTAGGCTAAGTGTTGCTGTTCCTTGACAGCACTTCTCTGTTTCTATTTACCTGCTATCTCTTTTTCCTCCTCAGTTTTCTCTCCTTTATCTCACAGTTGGTAATTTGAGGTATGTGGTTCCTGCTCATGGCACGCTGGGAGTTCTCCTTTGTTCCAGGAGGACAAAAATCAAGATCAATATAAGATCAAGATCTTCCTTGTTTTCCCTACTGGAACTCGCTGAAGTTCTGCCAGCCCACGAAGCAGAAATAAGGGCAGGAGAAGCCAATACAAAGGCTTTATCCAGTGAGTCTGATCATATACTTGTACCAGGTCACTAGAGGAAGAGTTCAGGTGAACAAGACTCTTTCTGCACTGCTGCCATCAGGGTGCTCAGTGGCACTGGACATTACTTTTGGTTGCCCATCTTTGTTTCTCCTTCAGTTGTGAGCCCCCTGAGTAAGGGGCAGTCTCATGAAGAATGGGGGACCCACAAGCCACAGTATTAAGAGGCCTCTTGGTGCCCCTGTGGTAGGGAAAATGATGCAGTTCATCATCCCAGCTTTGCCTGGGAAAACTGGAATTCCTGTTACGAGTTTTCTTATGAAAGATTCCTTGATGGGAGATATAAGAACAACTGGTAGGCACAGGCAAGTCTGGGGTTTTGTTAGATGTTCCTAAATGACCTTTTAATTCATTTATTTCAAAAACTAAAGGGAATTTAAAAGTAAAGCAACTTTCTGAGTGGAGAAATTCATACTTTTCTCCAGAAATATCTAAATTAAATATCTAAATAAAAGTGAGCATCTCTACAACAGAGCTCACATCAAAATGTAACACCCATTAACTTCAGGTTTAGTTTTGCCTACTTTGGTGACAGAGATTGAGAAAGCCAGCAGCACAAAATACATTCTAGTATATTTGAGACCTGACAGCTTTCCCTCCTTCTGTTCCTGAATGAACTGCTTGTGGAAGTCCAAGGAGCAGATTGAGTTTCTGGTCAGTTGTCATGTAAGGTACGGGGTTAGAAATGAGAATTAATGTGAACGGCTGCTCGAATAACTCATTTTTTTCCTTTCTGAAATGCCTGTTCCTGTAGATCCAGCTTCCCTTTTCTCCCCCCATGCTGCCCATTGCTTGTCAGGATTGCTGGGAAGAGTAATGACTGATGGAATTTGCTTGGTAGTGTGGCTGTCACCGCTGCAGCTGGAGGGACAGATGCATCTGTAACAGTGAAAATCCAGATTTCAGAAACCATCGCTGAGTCCAGGTACTTGTTTTTTCCACTGTCTTGTCTTTGGGTGTGTGAAAGGAGCACAGAGCATTGAGCTTTAATCTTGTAAGGTGCCTGAGAAAGGAGTCGCAGGCAGGACTGTTTTCTCTTCTACTCTGTGCCTTTGAGGGGGCAAGAAAGGTGCAGCAAAAACTGGGCACAGGGAAGCAGGGCTGCATTCTCATTCGGAGGAAGCATTTTTATACAAACTCATGTAACAGTTACCATAAAGCTCATGTTATGTTGCCTTTGCCTTTTGTAACTGTCGGGGTGTGACAGGATTTCAACTTTTCATGGCATGCCAAAAATGTTTCTTAACACCAGTTTACTTTGCCTAGCAAATCTCATTGTGTCCATTACTCACAGGGGCTCCATTTTGCCCTGTGTTTTGTCTTATTAATGTACTTATACTAGTGGGAGCTGGGGTCAGTGTTGATACCAGCAGTCAGATGTCCAACCTGAAGAGTCTGCTGGAGGTTTCATGGAGGAGGAGGAGGAGGAAGATAGGCATCCAGCTCGCTCGAGGCCTGGGAATAACAGGAGCTCCCTGTGGGATGGGATAGAGGTGGAGGTGGAGGTAGGATTTGAGCTGGGGCTGATGCAGAGCTGAGGTGGAAGCTGAGAGAAGCCCCAGTGGACCCATAAGCTCTGTCTGCAGCTGGAAGGAGCCCTGTCAATTGACACTGGATGGGGCTGGCTTGGGTGGGGAACAGGTTTGTGCTGGTGCTGAAGCCAGGGGGAATGAGCCTGGACCCCAGTGGCCACTCAGAGGTGCAGAAAGAACATGATGCTGCTTTCATAGGCCTGCTCCTTCCTACTGCAGAAATCAAGCTGAATAAATTGACAGATCGGTAGCTGAGTCTTGGGTGACATGGTTTACTGTCAGGCATCCCTGCCCATAGCAGGGGGTTGGAACTGGGTGATCTTAAGGTCCTTTCCAACCCAAACCATTCTGTGATTCTATAATTCCTTCCCCAACTGTCTTAATTCAAGAGATCGGGTCCAACCTAGGAACACCGATTGTCCTCAGGCATAAGGTCTGGAACTGGTGCAAAGACAAGCTCATGTTTGGCAACAGTGGGCTCCTCTGCCTGGATTTCTGCTGGGATTTGGGTTGGGATTTGGTTGTTTAGCTGATTTCATTGAGGATTAGGTTGTATAGCATCAGGTAGGATTTTTAAAGATGCTCATCTAAACATCCTTTACCTTGCAAAAGGGCCACGTTATTTCTCCCATTGGCCCCTACAACTTCTAAGGAAGCTGTTTGCCTGTCCTCTCAAGGCAGAACCCACATGTCCAGGATGCACATCCTCTGTGAACACACGGATTCACCTCTCCCTGCCCTCCTGGACCAGGGTATGGGCAAGATGCAGAGACCTAGAGCCTCAAGTTGATTTAATCTGTACCTGCCTCTGTAACTACGTCTGGCTTCCTCTGACCCAAATTACCTAACTCAGCTGGCATTTCCTTCCTCATATTCCTTCCCTTACATCTCCGCATCTCACCTGCTATAGTTTAACTGGCTGCAGCGGGGGAGCTGGGGGAAAGCGCGTGCTAACGCTGCGCCCACCCCTGCCCTTCTCCCTGCCTGGCTCAGAGAGAGACACTGTGTGGATGGAATTTTTCACATCAAAAGTTTCAATTACAGCAGGAAATGTCAGGCCGACAGAGTGCGACTGTTCCAGGTTTCCCATAAGGAATACTCCCACCCTTACTATTTACCCATATGGAAAAAACAACCTCGGATGGTATTTTTTTAAGTTCTCAGGTAAACGGAGCTGAATGGTATCATCACATAGACGGCAGGCTTGCTGCAGGAGATGAAAAAGTGTAAATCATAGCACAGGGTCCAGAGCCTTTACAGTGCCTTTTTCATGAAAGAAAATCCCGGGATACAGGCTAAGTGGGATGGGGGCTGTTTGAGAGGCAGCTTAACCTCTAGCAAGTTAGCTAAGGGGAAAGAGGAATGGAACAGGATGGAAACACTGATCTCAGAGCAGGAGATGGTGTGGAAAGCAGCATACAGAGTGGCACGTACACAGAGTGCAGTGGTCATGCTATGACCAGCAGAGCTGTGCACCTCAAAAAGAGCCTGGCTTTGTCATCTTGATACTGTCTCTGAGGTAGCTGAGACAGGAATACGCCCCCCCCCCTTCATCTTCTCTTCTTGAGGCTGGCTGAATCTAATGCTCTCAGCCTCTCCTTGGTCATCATGAGCTCCAGCTCCTCATCATCTTAGAATCATAGAATCATAGACTGGTTTGGGTTGGAAAGGACCTTAAGATCATCTGTTTCCAACCCTTCTGCCATGGGTAGGGATGCTTCACACTAGAGGTTGCTCTTGGTGGATGTAAGATCTTGGTTGCTCTCTCCTTGGTTCATCCAGAAAATGCATCCCAACATGTGTTATGGACAGCATCAAATCTAAGATTTCTGTCATGGCCTCAGACATCTTCAGTGGTCTTGGGTCTTGCTCCCTCATATAGAACCACTGCTGAGATGGATGATACAGCCACTTAATTCATTGCCACTCCTGCAAGGACTCCATCGTTTGCCTTAAGCAAGATCAGGTCATGCTTTTAATGACAGCGTTCAACCTGTGGGATTGTCTTGGACTTACTGGTTCCTGAAATCGCAACCGGGGCTTCCAAAAAAGCCTGGAGAACTTCAGTGGTCAAATTAAATCAGTAAGTGTGGTAAGGAATTTGGCACTTAAGTCACCTGGCTCTTCAGGATAATTCAGTGCATCCCAAAATCAGGCTCAGTCAGCATATTGCCCAGCACAGGAGTTGTTGCTGTTGAGTTTTCAACTCTCAGCTTGCATCGTAATGGGAAGTGTTTGTCTCCATGTGTGCTGTGGGTACAGACTGGCACTTATTTACCGGAGGGAAGCTTTGTGTGAAACCTCACTGTGTTCCTTGCAGAACAGCACAAGATCAGGGCACAATGCAGTGTTTTGCAGACGTGGTGGTACAGTGCTTCTGGTTAGGGCAAGCGGGGACACAAGAATTTCATCTAATGGAAAATAGTGAGGTTGCAAATATGTTTCTATGCCACAGGAGGATGAAAGCAAGGCCTCTGAAATGGCACATGAAATGAAAATGAAAGGGAAGGAGAGCTTTATAAAACAGCTATTAGCTTGCTGGTTGAGGAATTCACCTGGGCAGAGGGAGCTGTGCATCAGACTTGCTCTATCAAACAGAGCAGGGATTTTTACCTACATCCCATATGTGAGAGCCTGGGTGGTAGTGAAGAGAGCCCTGTGCTAAGTGGCACTCAGGGATGGGTTATATTCACAGTGCTAGCTTGGGAGAGGGAAAGGGAACATTGCTATGTGTCAGCAAGCAGGTCCAACTGTGGGCACATCCATGGCCACTGTCCTCAGCAGCTGAGCTCTGGCTCACATGGCACTGGGAGGACCCTCTAATAACCAGAGGAGCAGGATGAGGAACATGAGATAGGGCAGGAGAAGGCATCCTCTGAAATCCTTATCTCCAAATACAAGTGTAATGGATGTCCAGGGTATTTGATTTTCTTAATTTTAAGAAGCTTATTAGCTATGGAGAATAATGTAGCAGTGTTCTCCGTGATGCAAATCTGTATAGATTTAAATTGATGGTAGAGATTTGCAACCTGTGTAAACAACTCTGTGAAGTCAATGGGGTCACACTAAATTGTATCATCTGAGGCTATAACCCATCATGCTTCCACGTAAGAAAGGGCAAGGAAACAGGGCTATGAGGAGAAAATGAACTAAAAACCACAGCTCAGGGCTTACAGGGTTTACAGAATCTTGGCCATCACTTTTCTCAGCCTCTGCATGGAAAACATCTGCATGTCACAAAGCACTTTGATGTCCACCATACAAGCCGTGGGCTCTCCTGCCCGCTGAATGGTCCATTGCTCCTCTGATGTCAGCTGTCCTCGCTGGGAACAGGCAAGGCAAATATTGCTCTGAGCAGCTGAACATACACCACCCGCTGGTTCCAGTGAGTTCATTCCACTTGTCTGCAAGTATGAAGTATTAAAGGGTTGCAATTATTGTTCCTTTGGAGATATTAAAGTTTAGAAGCTGCCTCTAATGACTGATGTATAGCAGTCGAGCGTAGTCTTTCCGTGGAAAGTTGATGGCTACTACAAGATAAACCTTGTGTGGCTAAAATAAATAACATCTTTCTCTTAGGAGCTAATGCATGATGTTTGGTTAAGCAGTGGTGCCAAATCCAATGGGAATATACCTGTAATTACAGCAGGGAACCATGTAACTGGGTGAAACACTGACCAGGAGACCAGCAGAGATATTTGCAAAGGTCCCTGTTGGGGCTTTATGTCTACATGTAAGAACTTGGCTAACCAGTTCTGCTTCAAGCCTTGGTGCTGGAGCAGCACCGCCTGTGCACACGTGGCGGTCTTCATGTTCTTGTTGTTTATTGGAGGTGTAGGAACAGCGGCAGGTTCCATCTCCTGGGGTCAGTCATAAAAGGCAGCTTAGAACAAGGCAAAAGAGGTGGGCATGGAGCAAAGGATGCACACAAGGACAGTGTACCTGTGTAAAACAACTGTGGTTTAACTTGTTCCAGCAGCTCAGCATCTGACCACTTGCTTGGGATGGGATTCCTCTGGCTCTGTGTGGACGTGTACATAGATGTAGAGGTAAATGGTCTTCACAGCTGTCAGGGAGCGATACTGATCTTATCCTAAGGGAGGCATCTGCTGTAGGCCAGGTGATTTACTCCCCAGAAGTGCCTACTCACTCCATTAACTCTGGTGGGAGGTGAATGTGGCTGAGCAGATGGAGATACCAACATTGGTGGGAGGTAGGTGAGAGAAAACCCATCCTTCGCTGCAAGGCAAGTGGTGATCAAGCTTTCCAGGGGAAAAACAGCAGGTCAGTGTGTGAAGGGTCAGTCAGACAGGTCTGGGTGACCTCTCTCCAGCCTAGCCTGGTATGTAACTGAATTGTGCATGGGAGAACTGGTCCTGAAATACTCAGGTACCTTTCCCCAATGTCACACCAACGTAGTGACGTTGTTTATAGGTTGTGTTTGGAGACAGTTGTGTTGGAGAAGGCAAAGGCAGCCTCTTGGTATGGCTGGAAATGGTCATCTGTGAAAAATCCTATTCACTGCTCCACGCCAATCCCCATCTCTGCAGCAGAGCCAATTTTAGCAATGACATCAGTGGCAATGTGCATTAAGTGCCATTAAAGCAAGAGCTAGCACCAGGGATGGACTTGTCCCACAGGGAGAGCGTCCCCTTTTGATCTGCTCTGCAGATCCTTTGCCTTCAATGAGTGGATCTGTATACCTCGCTCCTTCCACACACTGACATCAGTGGAAACTCTGTGTTTAGGCAGGTGCAAAATAGGCCGTGCTTAGATGCATCACAGCGATAAGGGCTCTGAACTGCCAATCCTGGAGGAAAATTCCCCGTCCTGCTCCTACCCTGCTGTTTAATTTTGGGTTACCTCTCCTGAGATCACTGAGTTTTCTGTATGGAGAGACTCACCATCCCAATGTGAGTCATTTAAAGAGTTCAATTAGTAATTGATGAAACAAATTAGCAAGATATTAAGGGCCTAGTGCAGTGACGTGCTCCTAAAGTGATCTGAGGAAGGACTTGGAATGCGAACTGATGTTTCAGATAGGCAATAATGAAGCGAACTGGTTCATTCAGGAGAAAATAGGCATTCTGTGGTTACCATCCTCTGCTGAAAATACAGCACGGTAGCAGGGCAGTAAGTGAGCAAAAGCAAAGGGGTTCTTTACGGGAATGGCAATAGTTTGTAGGTTGCAATTAGGAATGTATGAGGGTCCTGTCTTTGTGTAGCTGTGAAGTTCTGCAGAGCTCTTAAGGCTGCACCCACTGCAGCCGGGTCAGAGGATCCCAGTGCAAGGTCACTGTGTCTGGGCTAGCTTTAAATTCCAGATTTTGGGTGCCAGTGTTACTTGTGCCATCAAAGGAATGCCCACATTGTCCAGCAGATGTGCCCAGTTCCCTTTGTGAGCCCTCCTCAGCCTGGGTTTGGAGAGGGGCATGGAAATGCAGGAGGGGAGAGAAGTGCAGTTAATGCCCTGATACACTTGCCCAAATCTTTCCTTCCTCTGGGTTGCCTGACTTAGACATGGGTGCAGGCTACGGTGCACTTCAGTCTGAGACAGTGCTCCATATTGGTCCTGAGCTCAGCTCTTCCTCAGTGTGATACTGAGACTTCAGGCCCCAGCAGCAGCCAGGCTATGAGCGAGAAATGTGGACAGACAGCAGGTAAGTCCCAGGGCTGGGCACACTTGAACTGTTTTGAATCCCACTCATTACACAGTGGTGTAGAAATAGACTTGGATTATGTTTTAAAACTGTTTAGCCCTGACCCACATCCCAGTGAACTCAATGGGATGTTGCCAGTGACTTAAATGGGCGCTGGAACAGGCCTGCAATGTTACTAGTGCCTTCAAATACTTCCTTCACCTGTAGGATGAAAGTCCTTCTCCTGAGTCAATGGGCCTTCTTACTTCTTCCTCCCCTCTCAGTTTCCATGGGCCCCTAGCATGGGAAACTCAGCCTTATTCATCTTTGTATTTCCATGTCTCTGAATCAGGCAGGTTCTGGGTATGTTCCACATAGAAGCCTGTTATCTTTTCGAATGGCAAAAAAGAGGGGATTTTTCCATAGTCACATAGTTTTTCCACAGAAATGTATTCATGAGAGTTAAACTTGCCCGAACTATGTTAATGTATGTGGTTGGCTTCTGTGCCAATTTTCATTGTGAATAAGACGCAAAATAAAAGGGCTCTTGTGTCTCCCTTTCCTCCTCCCTCAATCCCTCCCATAACTTTGGAGTTCATAAGCCCATTTTGTATGCGAATCAGATCAGGAGAGGAAAGGCAGGGGGGTTACTTTTGCTTTTAAACTATGCCTTTGCTTTAAACGACTGGTAGACACATACAAGTTCTGCCTGAACCAAGGAGAGCTCAATACAATGGGGCTGGCCCTTATAGTTGGTGTAAATTGGGATAACTCCATTTGTCCTGAGTGAACCGCACTGATTTACACCAAGGAAGGACACAGTTCATTGCTGTGGTATTACTCTAATGAGTTTGCATCTGACAAGAGAAATAGTGTCTCTTTTTAATACAGATGTCAGGATTCTGCAGAACAGTCTCCTTCCTGAGCATGCACCGTGGGTTACCGCAGCGCACACAACACATCAGTTGAGTTCAGGCAGCTCTGTTAGCCAGATGGCTATGAAACATTCATAATACAAGCTGTAGCTATTATGAGCCATTTCTCTTTGGTGCATGTCCTGACAAGCTGCTGTTATTAAGTTTCAGTGTATTTCTGTTAATGTTACCTACCTATTTTCATTCCTGTATGCTGTCACACGGAGCTGGTTGGCGTGGTCTTGGGAACTGGGCTTCAAGGCTCCTCCCTGTGAAAGTTGCCAGCTCATTTATTTGTTTCTTTCCAGTGGTTCAAGCTGGTGCGTTATTCAGAAACTTCTGAAAGAGAGGGGTTGGGTAAACCTCTGATTCAGTTCGTTTGGAAGCAGCCTTGAAGTCCTCCTCCACATCTCGCCCTCCTGTGGCTCTGAAATAGGCTTCGACGAGGCTCATTTGGAGCCCGTTTCTGAGAAATCATCAGTGCTTCTGGTGGAAAGGTCCCTCAAGTTGAAGGTCTCCATCCTTTCCTGTAGAGCTGTAGTACTGACTCTCCCTGGCTTTTGTTTCTCAGAGCAGGAGAGGGGTTCAAACACAACATGCATTGTGAGGTGTTAAGGTAGGGTGGCGAGATCACTTCTGTTTTACCCTTATCCCAGCATCCTTCTGCAGGGGCAGTGGTCACCGGTCCAAATTATGTTCTCCTGCTGGCTGCAAAGCCTCTTAACTGCAAAGGACACAAGAGTCTCAAGGGAGCTCTGAGTGCTCACTGCTGTTGCCTACCTGTGTTTAGCAGCAGAAAGAGCTGTGATGCAGGACATGCTCTAGGCTGCTGGCTGGTGGTATGAACCTTCTGGTATGGGCTGTGTTAGATGAGGTGGTTTGATAGCTGTAGGCTCTCCTCAGCCCACCTTTGCCCTGTAGAAAAGCTGCTGGTGCTGCTGCAGCTACAGAGGAGCCTGCACACAGCCAACAGCATAGACCATGAGCTGTTGTCTGTATGGATGGAGCACACCTCTGCATGCCTGGACTGAAAGGGCAGTGACAGCAATGTGCAAAGCAGTTACATGCAACTGGAAATACCTGGGATCTAAGTGTCATTCCTGACAAGATACTCAGTTTTGGGGTGTCATGTGCACCATGTAAGATTAACAGATGGACTAAGGAAGCTCTCTGTAGAACATACTTTCAGCAAACCAGTTCAGTTGGTTTGTTGGTTTATAGCACTTCTATGAACCGCCTGCAGACTGGGAGCTGTTTCTTTTTCATGTGACAGTAGGAGTCATGTTAGTATCCAAAAAAATGAAATCTTGAGGTTGGCTTAGAAATCCTGAGACTTTAGTACACAGAGCTGGGCAGAAGCTGCCTTCTGGTTTTTGTATCGAAGGTGCTCAGGCCCTTGCATTCACAGAGGGTAAAAACTGACTTTAAATAGGATATGAGGTTCTTAGCTATGAAAATCATTGTAGTGGAAAGTCACTATCTGTAGTACTACCCACTATAACAGTGTAGGAGTTGGCCATTGTGGAGAACTGGACAATAGCTTGTACTTGAAGAAAGTATTCATAATACAAGGAGAGCCTTTTGTTCATGTGCAGCTGCATATGTAGCAAACAGCTCTAAATTACTCTCTGCAAATGTCTTGTTACAGTGGTGGGTACAAGACCCTTATGGGACGGGTACCACAAAAGAGGGCACCCACAAGCTCTTTGGCTGCAGTAGCCTCCTGAAGCATCCCCAGGATTCCTCTGTGTCTTGACTACATGAGCCAAGGGGCAGTGTCCAAAGGGCAAGATTTCCCCTTGGCAGATCTTGGTGGGTCTCATTTCAGCTGGTGCCTTTTGGAGAGGAGCTGAGGGGAGTGAATGCACGGTGGCTGTTTTGTAATGGGTAGCCTGAGAAATTCCCATCACAGCTGCAATCTGCTTAGGTGGACCCATGTTCTCCTTTCCCAGCCTATGAAGAGGAACAAAAACATGTGGCAGGCAACAACTGGATTGTTTCAGAAACTCTGAGCTCTCCTTTCAAGGAAGTGCTTTTTGCTGTGGTACTGGACTACCCAGTCCTGCAGACATTCCTTGGCTCTAATATCCAGTATTCCTGTGCTTTCCTGGGAGGGGGCCTTCTTTTGCGTCTCAGATGTATATACCGAGGTCAGCCAGCTATTCATCCAAAGGAACCAGTGTCTTGGGCTCTGACCCTGAGCTGCATCCAGAATGGCCTCAGGGAGCCGCTCACCTACCTCTGGGTGTTCAGGAACTATGACAAGGCTTCGGGTAGGGTGTTTACAGTACATTTTCCAGCTGCAAAGGGAGAAGAGTTTTCTTTGCAGTTGTATATAGATTGTGGAAATGGAGAGTAATAGTGTTCTTGTTTCAAGAGTTGTCATGAATGCTTGGTTTTGAGGCCAACCATTCAGCTCCTCTTATCTCTAGATGCTAATCTGTCTAAATGATTGCAGTGTGTCTCAGGTATTTGAAGGTGGGAAAAAGAAAGAAAGAATCAATCTTTGTTTCCCAAACTATCAAAAGCTTATTAGCCTCAGGCAGATCTTTTTATCTGCAAGGAATAAAGCAGATACGTCCAGATCCTCAGCCAGTATAAATCAGTTTAATGCCCTTGACCCATTAATTTTTCCCTTGCACTTTGTCTGACTGGGATTTAGGCTGTGTTTAAGCATCTCCTTTTCTTCCAAGTGTCCAGTTTGAAGCTTAGCAGAACAACCATTAGCCCTGGCTCTTGGAGAGCTTGCACTGGATCATAGAATCATGTAATGGTTTGGGTTGGAAAGGGCCTTAAAATCACCCAGTTCCAACCCCCTGCTATGGGCAGGGACACCTTCCACTAGAGCAGGATGCTCCAAGCCCCTGTGTCCAACCTGGCCTTGAACACTGCCAGGGATGGGGCAGCCACAGCTTCTCTGGGCACCCTGTGCCAGCGCCTCAGCACCCTCACAGTAAAGAACTTCTTCCTTATATCTAACCTGAATTTCCCCTGTTTCAGTTTGAACCCATCACCCCTTGTCCTATCACTACAGTCCCTGATGGAGAGTCCCTCTCCAGCATCCCTATAGCCCCCTTCAGATACTTGAAGCTGCTCTGAGGTCTCCATGCAGCCTTCTCTTCTCCAGGCTGAACAGCCCCAACTTTCTTATGATGCCATTCTGGTCTCTAACGCCTACAGAGCTGATGGAGTGAGGTTATGGGCCTTTTGTCAAGTAGCCAAGCAAGACAACTGCTTTGCAAGGTCAGTGGAGAAATGTGAGCTCAAAAGGTGAAGAAAGTGGTGGAGCTGAATTAGGTGACCCCAGGTAGAAGCAGCACATATACGTGTGCCTCTCTGTTGCAAGCCTGATGCAGTTTTATCTGATGTTTAGGCAGAGCTTCCCCTAAGGCAGTGGGTGCCCTGGGGGGCTGCTGAAGGTTTAGGCTTCCAGGTTTCCCTGCTTCCCAACTGAATTGTCTATGCTCTGGCAAAGGGGAGAACGTCTCCAGGAAATCTAGTTGCCACATGAAACGGGCAATGTTTTCCTCCCAGAGTAAAACCTACAGCTGCCACTTGGTTAGACTGAGGGACAGAGAGTTGGAAATGATAATGTTCATAGAGACTCAGAGACTCTTGTGCCAAGGTTCATGTCGAGAAGAGGGTAAGAGCAGTAAATAAGGTCAGATTGTGCTGTTTGAGCGTTACTGGCAGAGCAGAGCCCTCTTCCCCTAACAGCTATGTTAGCCAGGAGCAGTGATGACACCAGGAAATGAGATGAGGATGGGGGGATCACGGAACCACTGTGCATCCCCTAAGCAGGACCCTTTCTTAAAGCAAGGGGAAACCCTCCAGTACCCACAGGTGATTTCTTTGGGGATGGGGTATCAAGCCAAAGCAGGTTAATCCCTTCTGTCCGAGAAGCTCAGGCTCCTGCAGTTCTCCCCCCGGCCTTTTTCCTTTTCTATTTTAAGGGTGTGGTATATTTGGTAAGTTTTATGTTTATCAAGAAGTTGATTGTGTAAATAAAATTGCGGCCTTGTGTGCCAAATAGCTGGGTTATGCTTTCCTGGAGGAGAGCCAAGGCGGTGTGTGGGAGCATGCCAGTGTTAATATGTTCACTTTGCTATGAAATACGGCATGTGTGAGGCAGTGATGCTCGTGGAGCCGTGGTGCTGCTTAACCCTTCCCTGGCACCGTCATCTCCGTGCTCTGCTGGGCTTCCCCTCCTGTGGTTCATAAACATTCACCAGCAGAAGGGGCTGAGGCTCTCGTGGACTTTACTGGAGCCTGGCCAGATCAACAAGGAACTTCCCAAGGCTCGGGATCCCACCCCGAATTCCCCTCCCATGGCAGGATCCTGGTGTTTCCTACAGCCGGCGTGTGAAGGCCTCAGAGAGAGGGCAGGTCAGGCACGTGCCTGGGGATGCCAGGGCAGGGAAAAGAGCCTTGGGCTAAAAGAGAATAAACTCTTCAGCTCTAATGACTTTATTCCCTATTTACTGCTAAGTGCTACCCAAAGTTTACCTTGTTTCTACCCTGCAGAGGCAGCCAAAGTTTTATTCCAGTGTCTGTTTGAATAGCAGCCCAATCACTGAATAGTTTGGGAGTGTTTTCTGCAGGGATGGTGCTGCAGAGCTGCAGCCTCGTGTCACTGGAGGCTTTGGAAGCACCAGAATTGTTCTCTGGTTGCTTGTTTTGTTACTCTTCCCCTACAAATCACGCAGTCTCTATCTCGGAGCAGCGCCTATCTCCTTCCACTCATCCTTAGGTCATTGCATTCGGGAGGTGTTGAAAACAAATGAATGCAGAAAATGTAACCTCTTGCTTGCCACCAAATAAGAAAGCATGACTTGGCTACTTCTGCAGACAAAGCAAAGTCCCAAGGATGCATGAAAGGCCTTCATTTTGCCAAGCAGCAGGGATCAGAGTTAGCTGTGGTACAGTGGGAGGGGAGCCTATGTGCGGGGGAATTCTTGCAACTCAGACAAAAATAGTGACTTCCATTATTTACCTTCCTAAGCCGGAAACCTGCTTGCATTGCAGGCATTTATTGTAATTCCTCACATAGCTGGGGATGATAAGCCCCGCTAACTAGTCATTGCATGCTGGCTGGAAATGATAGTTAATGTACACCGGCCACCCAAACAACTTCCCTCCTTAACCCTTTCAAAGTGGCCACGTTTGGGTTGGTTTTGTTTTCAGACGATGTTGCTGCTGATCAGCCTCACCTCAACCCTCCGTCTTCGTTAAACTCAGTGTAGTGGAGCTCTTTGATGCAGTCTAATCTATATGGGAGACTTCTCGGAGCAGTTCACACGTCTAAGATACACTGACAGTTATGGCTCAAATTTCAAAGGAATCAAAGGGAGCCGTTTGGCCGACTTCCACTAAATGTCACTGAAATTTGGATGCAGAACTCCTATGTGTTCCTTGAGCAGGCTGGATACTGTGGTTTGAGCCTACTAATGATCCTGAGCCCTAGCCTGCTGCAGTCAGTGGAATTCTCTTCTTTGTGCACTAGTTTGTACTATGTAGTGTTCAGACACTGTGTAGATGAGGCCCTCAGTGATGTGGTTTAGTGGTGGTCTTGGCAGTCCTGGCATAATGGCTGGGACTTGATGATCTCAAAGGTCTTTTCCAACCTACTTGGTTCTATGATTCTATGCGACCTCAGAGCAGCTTCCAGTATCTGAAGGGGGCTTACAAGGATGCTGGGGGGGGACTCTTCGTTAGGGACTGCAGTGACAGGACAAGGGGTAATGGGATAAAATTTAAACAGGGGAAGTTTAGATTGGATATAAGGAGGAGATTCTTTACTGTAAGGGTGGTGAGGCACTGGAATGGGTTGCCCAGGGAGGTTGTGAATGCTCCATCCCTGGCAGTGTTCAAGGCCGGGTTGGACAGAGCCTTGGGTGACTTGGTTTAGTGTGAGGTGTCCCTGCCCATGGCAGAGGGGTTGGAACTGGATGATCTTAAGGTCCTTTCCATCCCTAACTATTCTATGATTCTATGATTCTGTTCTATGATCTAGGCCTAAATGCTGAGGAGGTGAAAGAGCTTTGCTCTCAGGGGAGAAAATGAGAGAGTAAGCACCCACGTAAGGGTTACAGTTTGGGCAAGGGAGCTTACCTTTTCCATCTGTGCTCATGCATGTGTCCGTGTCTTCCTGCAGTTATCCCATCATAGCTTCGCTGTGTGCTGGAGTGCGCTCAGCTGTCCCGGTGCCGTGTCCAGCATGGGCTGTCCTCTCAGCATCGTGCAGCACTGATGTGCCCATGGGCTTGGTGTGGCACTCTGAGCTCTAGACCTGAGGTCACCGCTGAAATGCCTGATGGAAACATCAGTTTCAGTTCGTGGGGGAAGAGAGAGAAGGAGTTTGTATTTGGGCTCCTGCCCAAAGCTGTTTGCACCGGGATGGGGCACCACATGACTCCCAGCAGGCTATTGTCGTGGGATTTGGCAACGTCCAAGGTACAAGGTGCACGTTGATGTTTGGTACCAACGTTATATAAATGCTGCTTGTGCAAGCCCAGCAGCTGATTTTACAAGACGTGGGGAAAGACACATCTTTATCCAAGGGCAGGATTTAGCCCTAACTGCAATATCTTCCCAGGTATGATACAATAACAATACTTAGCAGGCATGTACTTCTTAACATCATCAAAGCAATGTACAAGCAGCAACTAATTAATCCTCACAACACCCCTGTGAGGCAAGTATTACCATCCCCATTTCACAGATTGGGATGATGTGACTTTGGAAGGTCAAATGACTTGTCCAGAGCTAAACAGTCTGCAGTGGAGCTCATTAGTTCCTGGCTCACAGCCACCACTCAGTGTACTTGCCCAGCCTATTACTGTATTTTATTATGCAAATCCCCATGGAAATTAGAAGCCCAAAGCAACCCACAGATCTAAACACGGTGCTTAGATCTAAATGCTGGATCCATTTGGTTTGAAATAGATTCCAGAGACCTGCCAGTGATTTCACTGGACTTTGGGTGGCGATGGAATAAAACAGTGACTGTCATGGAATCACAGAATGGTTTGGGTTGAAAAGGACCTTAAGATCATCCATTTCCAGCCCGCTGCCATGGGCCAGGACACATCCTGCTAAACCAGTGGGGTTCCCTGTCATGCCTGGAAGTCTCCAAGACAAAAACAGAGGTCATGGAGACATGTATTGATGACTGTCCAGCTTCACCCTTATTTGCACAGGCTCTTCTGAGGCCAGCAAATAGTCCCAAGCTAGACAGGGTGTCACCAAGGTGAGCAAAATGACAGAGTTCAACCTCAGTTCCTGCAGGTGTATTGCAAGCAGTGAATGGATACATGTCTGCCTAGTCACTGGAAGACTCTTTGGCCACAAGGTTATAGCTGGCTATAGAGACAACTCAGGAAAGGCAGCAAGAAGCAGTGAGCTGGGGTCTAAGTCAGGCATACAGGGTTTTCTTCAGTATTGGCAAGCTTTGCTCAAAAGCTGATGCTGTCCATGCAAACTGGCACTGTTTTGATGATTCAGAAAATCAGCCAAGCCCTGTCTGGCTTGCACAACGGTGGTTCTTGCGGAAATCACCATGGCTTTTGCGTGTGCAAGGAAAGGAAAGGATACTCACCGTGTAACACTGGATCAGGACTGGTTCTTGGCTCCTTATTTCACGGGCTGACAAGTGCACTGCTAGATTTCGTGAGGGTGTCATCATGCCACTGAAAGCTATTTACACAAAGTCACCCTCCAGGAACTGGGTCACAACTTCTTCTTTCATGAGACTTGGCAGTGATCTCAGGGTTTTACTAGAAGCTGAAGAGAGGATGCCTATGTGCAACGCCAAAACCAACTGAGATGCAAAGGGAACTGGGCCCCGTGCCACTGATCAGTGCGTGGCACGGCACATCAGGCTCTGAAGGCAATGGGATGGGACTTCGCTGCTTTGCAGCTCCAGCGGTTGCTGATGGTTGCCTTTTGCACTCTGAACAGGTGTAAATGACTACCCAGAGGCAAAGCAGGGCAGAATCAGGGCCAGATCTTCAGCTAGTGTCAATCAGTGCCTCGGCTTCAATGGGGCTGCATCAATTTGCCTTAGGAAAGGGTGTAATGTGGGAAACAGAGATAAGGGAACTCATGTTCTAGCACCCTATATCCTATATAATTGCTTAAGTAAGAGCACAGCCCAAAATGGGTTTGCCAGATGCTGGGGTGGTGCAGAAGCCATCCCATGGTTTACGGGCAGGGTTATACACCCAAGTGGAGGAAGCCTGTGGCCAGGATGGGCTCACCTCCTGCTTGCTTCAGGTGAGCCCATCCTGGGCTTGGGTACCAGCTGGTGGGAAGGATGTGTTTACATAGACATATAGGAGGCCTTACATTCTGGATGCTGGGCTGTACTCAGTCCATGCCTCCATATCAACTGTGCTCCTATGACCCACAGTAGCTGGAGTGAAGCCAGCGCAGGTCTGTGAGCTGGAGCAACAATCATACCTTTGTTTTGCAGGGCAGATGAATAGATAGATAACAGCGAGTTAATGGACAGCAGCCCATTCCCCCCACAAACATCAGTCCTATCACTCACCTCCTCCCCCAGCAAAACGAGGCCTCAGGGACAGAGAAAGAGCACAGAGATTAAAAACGAACCCCTTGCTTTGGAACTCCTCAGCGAAAGGGGCTGATAAGAGGAGGGCTGAGATCAGGAATCAGATTTCAGGGGTAACAAATGAACAACCACAGAACGGAAGGATGCCAAAAGGGTTATCGGAAGGGAGTGATGCTGAGCACGTCCCAACAGCTTCTCTTCTGAGAAAAACAAGAGCAAAGGTGTTTCTCTCATAGCAGCAACAGACACAAAGAGCTGTTCAGACACTTTATACCCATTAAGAACCCCGGAGAGACGTAAGAGCATCCCAGAGTGAAGGTTTGTAAGCTGTTAGTCAGGTTCTGTTTCCATGCTGGCAGATTCCCGAGAGCTGCAAGCTCCACTGTTCTGTGCTCTCAATGGGAAGTGATCAGCACTGGAAAGAGTTGGGAGTAGTCAGGGCTCATGGAGCAGGCTGTGGCTCAGGCTGGGCAATGTGGTTTCAATTCTGGGGCTGTCCCCTCAAAAGCCTTCGTAAAAGCAGCCTTAATATAAAAGACCATGTTCCTACAGCTCGAAACATCAGGAAGACTGTCCCCCCCTAGAGAGGAGCAATATTCAGCAGTGGAGGCTTCGCTGAAGTGCTGCAAAGGTAAAGTTCACATCTCTGCATCTTCACATCTCACAAAAAAGATGCTGGAGTCAGTGTGTGATCCAAGTAGTGCATTGTCCCTGCTGAGACATGGGCCTTTCATGTATTCTTTGCACTGGATAAGTTGTTCTTATCCTACAAAGACAGGCTGAAAGAGTTGGGCTGTTCAGCCTGGAGAAGATGCATGGAGACCTCAGCTTCCAGTGTCTGAAGAGGACTACAGGAAATCTGGAGAGGGTCTTTTTACAAGGGCCTGCAATGACAAGACAAGGGAGAATGGCTTTAACCTGAAAAGGGGAGATTTAGATTAGACATTAGAAAGAAATTCTTTACTATGATGGTGCTGAGGCGCTGGCACAGGGTGCCCAGAGAAGCTGTGGCTGCCCCATCCCTGGCAGTGTTCAAGGCCAGGTTGGACAGGGCTTGGAGCAACCTGCTCTAGTGGAAGGTGTCCCTGCCTGTGACTTTCTGTCTTTCACTCCAGTGGAGTGTGCAGGCGGTTGTTCAGTTTGGAGGAGGAGTCTTTGGACCAGGCAGCTGTGGCAAGGTGGTGTCAGGGTTGCTCCAGCAAGCACACAGTTAGCAGGTTTCTGCCCATTATCTGAGTGATCTGGACGATGCTATGAAAGAGGCTAAAACCAGGCAAGGAAGATCCTGGGGCCTTGACCCTCTGGCTGGCGTGGGATGACCTGGGCTGGTTTGAATTGTGTCTTTAAAACTGAAGGCAAGCCTGAGGAAAGGGAGGAGGAGGGATTTTCCTTTGGGAATTTGTTTCCCCATTCCCAGTGGGTGAGCCCGTCTACTTACTCACTGGGGCACATAGTAGTTAATACAATTTTCTTAATAATAATAGTCTGGGGGCTCTGTAAAGCCAGCAGGTGGGAGCCAGCCAAACCAGTTGTGAAGGTGAACACTGACAACTCTTCAGATGGCCCAAGCCATCTCCAGCAAGGCTGAGGCAGACTCATCTCTGACTGCTCTCAGAGCCTGTGAGTTCCCTTGGGGCAGCACCAAAGCAACATCATCGTGGTCAGCCTCTACATGTGTCCTTTAGCTGCCCACTTGAGTGGTGAATAGGCCACAATTATGGTCTTTTGCTTCGTCTGAAGTTCTTCTGGATTTGGAGCCTACATCAATCCCCTGGTTTTGCACCTTCAGTGTTGCTGGGATTGCGTGTATTTAGGCAGACCCCAAGGCTCACTGGTGCCCTGGCAAGGACAGAGGGGTTAAAAGCAATACTAGGTACCATAAGACTTGGGGAAGAGTTGGAATATTAGACAATTTTCCTGGCTGCTACTCCAAAAACCATTTATAGGCCTGACTTACATGAAATTAGTTACAATGAGGGTGGTAAAACACTGGCCCAGGTTGCCCAGCGAGGTGGTGGGTGCTCCATCCCTGGAGACATTCAAGGGCAGGCTGGATGTGGTTCTGCGCAACCTGATCTTGTTGAAGATGTCCCTGCTCAATGCAGTGGGTTTGGGCTAGATGGTCTCTTCCCACCCAAACTATTCCATGATTCTATGATTCTGTGAAATGAAACATGATACAATACTTCTAGTATAACTCTATATTGATGTTTTTACCACTGGTTATATGGGCCAAGACCTCACATGAATGCAGTTATTTTGAAGTCAGAGGTTTACACCATGCAACTCTTCTTTCCAGCAAGAGCTGTAGTGCCTTGACTATTCTCACTACATTCACTATTCCCATACACTGAGAGAGGCACTACCTTTGTATGTAGATGAGATGTTAATGGCACAGACTTCATTGCAGCACAGCAAGGGTGAGCAGGAAGGTAATTATAGTCTTGCTTTTTATTGTTCTTATATAAAGCTGCTGTGGCTATTTTCCATCCCAGCTGTGCCTCCCAGCCTGCCCAGTCTTACTTTCCATTGCGGTGTGGATTTTGGATCCCACACATTCAGGGATACATGGCAAGATCCCACAGAATGGCTCATGACCACGGAGGTGCAGAGGCAGACTTGTGCTTGCAGATTTTGTCTGTGCATGGAGCCAGGGTTACTGTCCTGCTTTCTTTTCCTCGTGATTTTTCTAGAACCAAGGAAGGGCCTGACCCCAAAGCTGGATTCTTAAAGCAGCAGATTTTTAAGCACACTTGAAACCTGAACCTGGCTTTCACCCCAAATCTTGTGAGCAGCGTTTGCACTTATGATGAATCAGATCTGCATTTTGTGATCAGGAGTCACAGATAGAATAACAGATTGATTCCTCAAGTCCTTGCAGGTGAGATATCCAAGCAGGGAAATCAA